ATATAAATATTTACACCTTTTGAAGGAGCAAAAGGTGAAGCTGAAAATAAGTCGCCACCTTTACTTTTTATTTCCTGCGTACATTTTGTTTTTAATATGTGAGTATATTTATACTCGCTGTGGGACTTAAGATTAATTAAGACTAGACAGATTTTTTTTTGCCTGCACTACCTTCATTTTCAAGTTGAGTTTAACTTTATTTTTTTAAAGCCTTTACTTGTACAGTTATGAGGTACTAAAGTAGAATGTTTGATTGGATGTCGTCTCAGATAACAGAAGTGAAATTGAATCATTAACTGACTGAGCTGAATTAGCTTCAAATTGTATATCGATTCATATGCCGACTGTTAGCATGTACTGTATACCAGCATGCTAACAGGCTACATGTGTGTGTAACATCATAGTTATCTGGTGTTTTGTTTTGTTATTGCACATTATTTTCTACACTGTGATCAACTGTTAGCAAACGCTAATAATGCAACTCATACGTCAGTACTGAAAATGTAATGGATGCACATTCAGATAACAAATGAGCACAGATTACAGTGCAACACCTGTGAATCAGATCAGTAACTGCTTACAGTGGTAACACGCTATAGCACTAAATACGTCACTGTTGACTATACTCCAGAGGCGGTGTAGTTGTTTTACATGTATGATTTGTGGTTATGATGTTATTTCTGGGCAGACATGATACAATTCACTCCTGAAGAGTGCCCAAAACATTTACATATACAGCATGTACATATACACCAAGTTTTTTTTATTTTTTTTTATTTTTTTGATGCGTTGGTCCAACTTTCTTCTGTACTAATTAAATCTGGCTACAGTGTTTTGCTTAGACCTGGTTACTTGGTTATTTGTTATTCTGACGTTTAGGCTATATCCATATTTGCTTCAGCTTCCTGGGTTTTGAGCGCATGGCAGAGATGTAAAGGTGGAGTAGATATTAGTAGATATTATTCAGTCATAGAGGAGGAAACTGCATGTAATGAGATTATACTTTTATAACCTTAAGAATTATTTGGTGGGCTCAGAGAATGCAGTAGCAGACACATCACATAAAAGGGCCACATGTCAACAGCTAATATTGGTCTTCAATGTCAAAATATGTAGTAACATTTGTGGTAATATTCAATAGACTTACACAGACTTACTATGTTCAATAATCAGTTGAAATATCTGTTAATTAAGTAAGTTGATGAGGTATGTTAACCAATGTCTCTACTGCACTACAGAAATGACTTCTACACTAGAGGGCATGACATACAGTATGTCAGAGATGTCATGTGCACAAATGAAGGCGTGTTCGTTTAAATGACAAAACTAACATTGTTACTTAAATATGGGAAATAAAATAGCTTACTTCCAGGTTCTTGTTTTTTAAATATGGTAATACATTCGATTCCTCTTGGACAGTTACACATTACATCCAATACCTGATAACTGTGAGCAGTGTTTTTTTTCCCTTTTGTGTCACTCCTGCTTCTTAAACTGGTTTTGTAAATTGATTTTGTGTTGCCCTAAAAACATCCCTCAAATTGTTCAACTTTTGACTTTTTCTCCAATTTTCCCAGGGTAAAAATGGTGAGCAATCCCAACACTCTCTGCTGTTGCAATATCAACACGAACACTTCCAGATGCCCTTTGGGAGCCATATATTAGCATCTTGTCACATTTTATTTGACATTTCAATTTTTACTATACTGCCGTAGCGAGAGAGGGATGAAAAAAAAAAAAAACGGAAAACAAAACCAAAGACAAACAGGTGCAATTTTAGCACAGCAGCAATGAGCAGAAGCCAGTTGGGGTTCAGACTTATTCTGTGGCATGATGGGATATACGCTGCTACATTATAACTCTTAGCGTTATCATTTTTATGGCCCAGCCCAGCAGGGAGAACAATGCCAGTGGAGGTTAAATGCTCTCAAATAGCTCCCTCTATTTCTACCTAGTAGATATAGGACAGATATTTGAGTCCTTCCTAACAGGCTAGGTCCTCGGCGACCGCTCTCTTGTTTAGCTCTAGGCCTTAGGTCAGAAAAGAACAAACTGTCTTTGCAAAGTTTAGTGCTCACATTGCACTTTTACATACAGACACACTCTGCCACGGTGCTGTCTCCCTGTTGAAAAACAAAACAAAACAGGGAGACAGAAGAGTCGTGTACACAGAGGCATTGTGAATTATTCCTTTGTTAAATATTTAATCAAGTGTTTCCAGGAGTTTACCACATTTGTTTACCACAATTTAGCAGCAAGTGCAATGTGGTTAGTTTGAGTGATCTGTTTCTGTGTGTGTGTCTGTGTCACTATGGTTGGTTTCTCCTTAACACATGAAAAACAACTCACATCACTTTAACGAGCCTTCCCACCTTTGTCTTCTCCAATCAGAGCAATCCCACAATGCATTTTGCTCCACACACTTTCACACTGGCTGGTTCAGTGCAGGCACTTGTCTGAAAATGTATTATACACATGCACACACATACACACACACACACAGTCACTGCAAATCCAAACAATGATGCAAGCTTTGAAATTTACCACAAAACAAAATGTCTTATGTCCGTAAATGACCTACATGAAGGAAGAACAAGCATGCGTTTGCAGACGAGATACTAAAACTTTTTAGTGTTAGTCAAAGAATTTTCTAATAAACAGTAGGAACTACTTTAATGAAATTTTAATTGGATGGCTGTTGATAAAAAGATAAAGATAAGATGAAGATAAACACCCTTGTATTATGATTGTTGTGTATCTGGCTCACAATTATAATTTCCATTACCGGGTCGCGGGGCAGCAGTCTCCATGACCACCACCAAAATCACACTGCACCGTACCAACCCCCCTGAACCTTCCTGCGGGTGGTGAGTCCACTGGAAGGTACTAACTGGCCTAACTGGGATTCGGGAATCTCAGGAGGTGAACCCTGGGGTTCCACACCAATGACAGAGACATTGACTCTGGGCCAAAGTGCCACACAATTATAATTTGCACTGTAAAAAGATCAATATATGGATTAACATACATATAAAAATATATTGTCAGACTAAATCTATATAATCTAATTTATTAAAAACTTTCCAAAAAGTAAACTGAAAGTTACTAAGCGAGAAAGTCAGTTTAACTGTTAAAGCATCTCCTTTCCCACCTTTTTATTGTTAGAAATTAAATATTCAAATGAAATCCCTTTTTAATTGAACAGCTGTCAATCAAGATGCTTTCACTCAGAGATTTGTATATGCTGCATTTTATTTAAACTTGAGTCATATAAATGTAAGTGAAAGAATACAATTGTTTAGGGTTGTGTGTGGTGTCTTTAATCATAATTTGAAAAACAAAAATTATTGGGAAAAAAAATGTATTAGATGTTTTTTAATACATTCTGCATTTCTGGACTGTGATGGAAACCAGAGATAATTTATACACACAGGGTGAACACACACAACACAGACAGGAGATCGTACGAGCCAACCAGTGATTTGTATTGCAAGGCAGAACTGCTAACCACTTCTTTTTCTTACGTTGATATTTGTAAACAACCTTTACTTCTTTTGTCACTGGTGTCTTCCTGTCCTTATTTCTTGGTAATTCTGAGGTATAATATCAATAAAATTGTTGCTTTTATTTCATGCCATATCAGTATGTTTCAAACCTTAGGTGAATTTTCTCTACTTACTGTAACAGACTATAAGGAATGCATAATGTTTAAGCCATTCAGAAGGATGCTGACAAACTGGCCAGGTTTGTAGCAAACACAGAATTATATTCCAACTTGTAATTAAAGCCAAGTCAAAGAGAAAGAATTTGCCTCAGGTCTTCAAACAAACCAACTGAGTTTCCCTGACAGAGAGACATAGAGAGACAGCTTTAAACACAGGCCCCAAGTGAAGATCCTGGATTTTGTAAAATAAGGATGTGGGGTAGAAATCCATGCCCTCATCCTGAACCGCATACTGTATTTGACGTTAGCCTCTGCAAAGGAAGTCTTTTTAGTCTTTAAGATGTGTATTAAATACCTACAAATATACAGTATCACCCAAATCCAATATTACTGTATGTTTATAATAATGTAGGATAATGTTATTTAACAGATAATACATGAAAGAAATTACACATTAATTTGATCCAACCAGGTTAATTGGTTACTCTTTATTGACCATAGTTGTTAATCCCCTCAAACCCTACAAAGGATTAGGAAGCAGCAGATGAATAATGTACTACTCATAGAAAGATATTTTAGTTTTGTTTTATTACACATTTACTGTCCAAAACGTCCACATTCTCCACCAACAGGTCCATTTTGTGGCTGATGATTCTCCAGTCCTTGTTTTCTGTAACAGAAACTTCCTGTAAAAATCACAATGCCTCACGTCTAATCTTCAAGATAGATATTGTTTTGAGTCACACAGCAAGACCAGGTGTGCAGATCAACCTTATCTAATTGCCGCAGGGTGTGTGTGCGTGCCTGTTGGCGTGTGTTCTCTGCATATTATTTTGCATTATAAGAACAGGTTCCCTGCCTCCATATGTGCACAGTGTGCAGGGAAGCTGGGAAAACAAGGTTCTCCATGGCCCTCTGTGTTATTGCTACCGCCCACCTCCCAGAGTCCTGTTTGAAGACAGGAAATAGGAGTCAGACCGCAGTCCGAGGGGCATGTGGCAATGGTTAATACTCCGATGACCTTTGACCTTTGCTCTCCACCCCCGCCTGCTCTCTCACACCACTCCCCTGGCCTTCAAACGCTATCCCCTGAGTCCGAGCTCGAAAAATGAAACGGCCTGACCTGGCCCAGCCCAGTTCGGCTCAGACTAACTCAGCCCAGCACAATGGACTGTGCGTTCTGAGCTTTGTGTGAGTGGCCAATTAAAAACAGATGGACTTTAAGGAAGGGGAGCAGAGGTGGAGGAAGAAAGAAAGGAGTCTTGTAAAATATTTTGGAAGAAAAATATCCCAGGGACTCTGACTAATAATATCTATTTGTCTTGTGTGGTTTTGCTGGGAAGGCCATGTGGTTGCTCCGACTGCTCTACGGTTCATTTTTCACAATATCTGATCCGAGCAAGACAGAGAGCAAAGAAAAGACAGTGGGTTCTGGTGCAGAGGGCTAGGTGGGCTAGTTCTCTGGAGGTGTTGTGGTTAGGTGGAGGCTGGTTTGCAGGGAGCAGAGTAAGATGGAGGCCTCTGGAGTCACAGAGGTATCAGGTCTTTGGATGCTGTCTCTTGTGTGTGTGATGACAAGGATTAGTATAGGTTTTCTTCCATCCATCCATCTTCATCAGTAACAGTGACCAACGGCTATACAGTAACTAACAACCATAGATCTTTGTCAGAGGACAAGTACATACATGTGCTGTATATAGGCAGAGTCCTTATTTTATGGTTTCTTTTTAATTGTAATTTACCAATTATTTATTGTATTTAATCAGGTGATAAAACGGTGGTTCCTTAACTTCAGAAGCTCTGTACTTGGTGGAGGATTACATTGTTTTGTCAATAATTCTTTTAATACTTAAATTATAAATTATTAAATTTACATTTTACCAATGATTATTTTCCCCATGTGAACCTTTCTTTACCATAAAATCTTGCTTTATTATGAACAAGGCAAACACTGGGCCAAATATCTGAATATTTATTTATTATCATTCCATTAATTAGTGGCGCTTTGGCCCAGAGGCAATGTCTCTGTCATTGGTGTGGAACTCCAGGGTTCACCTCCTGGGCAGGTTCGAATCCCGGTTAGGTTACCTTCCAGTGGACTCACCACCCGCAGGAAGGTTTGGGGGGGTTGGCACGGTGCAGTGTGATTTGGGTGGCGACTGCTGCCCCCGCGACCCGGTAACAGATAAGCGGATGAAAATGGATGGATGGATGGATGGATTCCGTTAATTATTCACACTGGGGGGATTAAACATAGTAGTTTAAAGTAGTTTGTTGTAGTGTAGTGTTATGTTTAACTTGAATTTAAAAGTTTTTGTTTCTTTTCCTGTTTGTGACTTCACACTGATCATTTTTCTTTCTACCAACAGATGTTCTCAACTCTCAACCTATAGAAATATTACGGGATGCACTCTATGCTGTATATACAGTACAAGACCCTGATTTGTATCCCTTCCAAGCATATCCAGAATTAGTCTGCGTGTTGATGTTCTCACTCAGCCACCAGCTGTAGACGCCGTCTCCGTCACCTCATTCTGTCTGCATTCATCATGTGCCCGCCTGTCTGTTGGCCGGCCAGTCAGTCAGTCATTCGGTCGGTCGGTCAGCAGGCAGCTTGTTGACTGTTGCATGAATTGTTTTTCAAATTATTGCCTTTTCTCCGTAGATGGAGGGGGATTTATACTGGCTGAACTGCTGGCTTTTGTGGTTTCTTTCTTTAACATCACACAATGTCCTCAAGTTCTCAACCACGGGACATTTCAAAGAAGGAGATCTTCATAGTGGGTGATGATGTAGATGATGATAATAGGAATGATAATGTTGTCAGGGTTGGTGACTTCATCACACTGTGCCAGCCAGCAGAACAAAAGCGGGCTCTACACCCGCCCTGCTCTTGGCAGCAGAAAAAGGGAGAGAGCAAAGATTGATGTTTCTATTCAGCTTCAGTCTAAATCTACCTCTCGATCCACAATTTCAAATACTCCTGTGCTTGAGCTTTAGTAAGAAGGAAAAACAATTTTGATTTGTTCTGCAGACAATGTCTGTTACTGCCTGGGAAGGAAGCACTCCATCAGTTCATGCAGGATATCCAGTGATTTGGCTCCCCGCTTAAGATGTTTGACGCTGCTGAAAATCTATTGTTTCTCAAAGATGCCTGTGCAGAGCCTCTGTCTTCTTTCTTCACCCACTCTTTTCTCTTTCCTACAACTCGATCTGTTCTCTCACAGGACTCGGAGAGAAAGGGCTTCATGAACAAGCTCTATGCCATCCAGGACGTGTGCATCAGCGTGCAAAATGCACTGGATGAAGTGGCCTCCTATGGCGAGAGGATAAAGAAGTGAGTCGTAAGCCTGTTCCTCGGCACCCGGCCCTTTCTACTTCCACTGGTTTTACTGCAATAGCATTTTTTTCCCCCACTTACTCCTGCCAGCGTAGAAGAATGACTTGGTGAAACATTGCCAGCGTGACATTCAACTCTTAATCTCAAAGTATTTATTATGGATCCAAATTTTCAAACATCTGTAAGTGCAGGAAGAGATTATTTATCTTGGAAGTCTTTTGGTTTCCACCACTGACCAGCTTTGAGCAGTCTTAGGTTGCTATCACATTTATATCACTTATTACACTTATATCACTTATACAGTAACACATCTATTACACTTACATTAATTGTTGGCATGTTATTTTGCAGTATATCCTTTGTCTATTTACAGTCAATTTTTCTATTTTTTTCTTTTTTTTACAGCACATTTAACTGGACTGTGCCTTTTCTAAGCTGGCTGGCTATTTTGGCTCTCGGAGTGGCCACCACTATCATCTACTTCATCCCTCTACGATACATTGTATTAGCCTGGGGTGAGCTTTTATAAATTAAGTAAATTAAGGTTAAAGTATTTTATTATAAAAATTAAATCAAAACTTCTGTTACATTTTTTAACAAAGTCCTGCCCCTTACTAAAGCACATTCCTGTTCTCTTCAATACTGATGCTCATACAGCTTTAGGATGGATTCCAGAATATATGCAATTAAAGGAAGACTATTTGAAAGCACAAGAAACAAAAACTGAAAACTCTTTGAACTTATAGTGTCACTAGTTAGACAATATTTGAATAAAGCTTGAAAGCTAAAAAAATAATAAAATTTAACTCTGTACTGTATAGATAACACAGCCAGTTGAACAGAAAGTGAGCAAAGCTTTTGCATCAATCATGTTTTTCTATTGAAAAGTAAAAAGTAAAAACAGTGAACACATTCTTCTTCTCAATAAATAAATTAATGTTTCCATGTTTTAATGAAGAAATTAGCATACTGCCTCTGTTTGCTGCCCTGTTCTA